GTGACAGACTATGCGTACATGGACCATTGTCTTCTCAGGATGTGCTTATCTGCGCATATCTCCAGCTCTGCATATTCCCCCCTCCCTCCTCCATATGTTAATCCAGTGTAACCCAACCTCTCCTTAATGTATTCATGATGCAATCTGTGTAACCCAACCTTTCCTTAATGTATTCATGATGTAACTGGGATGTATTTTGCACTGTATTCTGGGACATGGAGGGAGTTTCAAAAGTTCATGTCACCCCTTTTTCGCTGTTCAATCTCGCCTTGAACCTGTTGCGCAATAAACTTGGATCTTCTGTAGTTTGCTCCTGCGTCCGGCTGAGCTCATTTTCTTCCGCAGGGACCCACGGACTTAGTCCGATGAGCTGGGTGGCAGAGTAACCCCGCACCCAGATTTTAGCCGTAACACCCTGATGGCAGATTGTATGAGGCAACTGTGCACAGAGTTATGGGGTTCTGGATCTAGCCTTAGCAACTCCTGGGGTTTATTTTGCAGCCTTAAGAGTCGAAGATTGCCCCTCCTAATCCAGTTGTACAAAGGGTTAATGGGTAGCATCTTGCCCACGGCCCCAAAGCAATCTTTGGTGACGTTGGGACATGGAAAGTAGATCTTCCTGTTCCCAGTGAAGCTCTCTGTCCAATAGACCAAACTGGTTTTGTAGTCAAGACTTCGTTTTCTAAGCTACTTTGTAGGATGGAATGATTTCTCTGGATCCTCGTAAACCTAAGCGGAATGATGAGGTGTTAGCTCATTAGTAGAGAACCTGCTTTGCACCCAGGTTCAACCCCCAGTGTCTGCAGACAGGGAGGGGAAAGCTCCCTGCCTGTAATCCTGGGGCGCTCCTTCCAGTTACAGTAGACAATACTGAGTTAGATGGACGAACCGTGTGGCTTGTCATAAGGCAGCTTGGTGTCACCCTGTGCTGGGGGTTAGGGAATGTATTTGCTAGGAATCCTCTGGGTTTTTATCCCGTGGGACTCTGAAATATAAGGGGCAGCCCTCCCCAAACCCTTAAATAATAAGTCTTCTGGAAACTGAGGTGCTGGTGCCAGATCTGTCTTCAGGCCAATCTTCGGTCTCATTTGAAAGTGAGTTTGAATAAAATAAAAGCCAGAAGGATCAACCTTCAGCGGCTTGGAAGCTGGATGCTGAATCCCTTTTTATCTTGCACAGATCATAGAATAATCGGAAGCTCCTGCATACTGCGATTGCATTTCAGCCCCCAGGCTAGTGGGGGTTGGCTGCTTCTTTCTGGGTCCCCCCTTCCCTCCCCTGCAATACAAATGTAATTGTTTTTTGTCCAGAGGGGAACAATGTGAAAATAAGAATCCGAGGTGACCGTGTGTGCTTTATTTGGGTTGTTATTTTTCCTCGCCATTTTCAATGCATTAAGAGTAGCATATTCGTCGCCTCAATAATCCCCCTCTATTATTGCAAAAACCGTGGTGTCGGGTCCAATTACGTCAAAAGAACGTTTTGGTGTTTTGCTTCTTTTTGGGAGGGGGGAACGGGCTAGGAAGGAGAGGAGTGGGAGGTGGGCATAGAAAAAAAAGCGATGAAACTCAACATTATGTGAAATAAGACCAAGAAGTCCTTTTTTTATTCGTGTGCATACTGGGCCCCTTGCAACCGTGGGGAGGGCAGCATTGATGAAAGCATTTTCGCATTGTGCAGATGGCAGGGATAAATATTAACCTCTCCATTCCCAGCCACCCTCCAGTGTCTTCCCTGAAACACACAATTCCCATCTGGTTTTCAAAAATGCAATGCCCTGGGAACCATCTGCATGCTGGAAGATGGACCCCTAATGCGAGGATAAATGAGAAAGAACTGCTTCGGGAAGGGGCGTGGTAATGCACTTTGGAATGCTTGTTAATCTAATGCAATTTTCCCTTCTGTTAACACTATAGTTCTTTTACGAGGAGAGCAAATTCAGATGGCTCCCTGAGCTGCAGTCTCAGGCAGAGTTCTTAGAGCACTGAGTTAGGGATCCTGCCAGATTCTACCCAGCTGGCATCTGGGCAGGAACCCCCAAGTACCAGTGAGGGTATAAGCATTTTCAGAATGCCTTTTTGTAGCAGGTTCTGGGCCCACTCAGCCCCTCAAATCTCTGTAGACGATGGATGGATGGATGGATGGATGGATGGATGGATGGATGGATCGATCAATGAATCAATCAATCAATCAATCAATCAATCTAATTTCTGTTCATGTCAATTCTGGATGTGTTCATAAGTCTATTCTGTCCCCTGTTGGAAGTGTAACAGAAGAGATCATTCCGTGTGAAACTTAAGAGTTAATTATTTTTCCAGTAAACTGGCTAACTGGGGAGCGGGGTGTTGCTTAGCAACCAGAATAGGCAGAATGGTCCGTACTAGCATGTGCCCTGATTGGCAATGTAGTCCTAAGGGAGTTTTGCCTTGATATGACCATTGAGAATTCTTGGAGAATAGGTGAGGTCCCTGCAGACTGCAGACGGGCAAATCTTGTCCCCATCTTCAAAAAGGGGGAAAAAGAAGCCCCAGTAACAGCCAACCCTTGAGGTTGATACTGATACTAGGAAAGGTCCTAGAACAGGTAATTCAATAATCGGCCTGTAAGCATTTAGAAAAGGATGCTGTGATTACTAAGACCCAGTATGGGGTTCTCAAAAATAAGTCATGCTAGACCAATCTGATTTCTTTGTTTGATGAACGGTGAAATCTGCTATGATTAAATGGGCACAAGATGTTGGACATAACATTATGATGGCTGACTGGGAACAGTTATGGACCACAGGTATGAAGTTTACGGCATGTAATGCCTTAAGAGAGAATTTAATGAAAATGATCTATAGGTGGTACATAACACCAGTCAAGCTTGCAAAAATCTACCATTTGTCTGATAACAAATGTTGGAAATGTAAGGAGACTGAAGGTACATTCTTTCACCTTTGGTGGACATGCCCAAGGATTAAGGCATTCTGGGAGATGATCTATAATGAAATGAAAAAGGTATTTAAATATACCTTCCTGAAGAAACCAGAGGCCTTTCTCCTGGGCATAGTCAGCCAATTGGTGCCAAAGAAGGATAGAACTTTTTTATGTATGCTACAACAGCAGCAAGAATACTTATTGCGAAGTATTGGAAGACACAAGATCTACCCACCCGGGAAGAATGGCAGATGAAGCTGATGGACTACATGGAATTGGCGGAAATGATGGCAGAATCCGAGACCAGGGAGAAGAGTCGGTGGAAGAAGATTGGAAGAAATTTAAAGACTATCTACAGAAACATTGTAAAATTAATGAATGTTAGAAGGATGCTGGAATGAAGTTACATGGTTTTAGCAGAAATGTTATAAAGAACTAAGTAATAATGAATTGTTAATGGGCCAAAGTGTAAAATTTAAGGTTAGATTGTGTTAAGGTAAATTATAGAACAAAAATTGAGAAAGATGGAAAGGATTTGCTGAAATAGCTAATTGAATTAGAATACAAAAAAGGGAGGTGTGAGGAGGTCGATGAAACAAGTAAATGAAAGACAAAGATATGGAAATACTGGATCTGTTTTTAAATGTTTTTGTTCTTAAATGTTTTTGTTTTTCTTATTTTTTTCTTGCTGTATTTGTTTTGCTTTTAATTTTTGATGTATTGTAACTTTTTATTGTCTCTTCCCCCCCCTTTTTTTGTAACTGTTAAACTTCTAATAAATATCATTTAAAAAAAAGATTTCTTTGTTTGATGGAATTACAAACTTGGTGAATCATGGGAATGCTGTGGACATAGTGTATCTTGGTTTTAGTAAGGCTTTTGATATTCTCGCAAGGAAGCTGGTAAAATGTGGGTTGCATAATTTGCAGATGAGATCAAACTTGGAGGGGTAACTAATGCTGTAAAAGACAGGATCAGAATTCAAAATGACCATAACAGATTGGAGCATAGCTAACAAAATGTTTTTCAATTAGGTAGGAAAAACCAGATGCACAAATATAAGATGGGGAACACCTGGCTTACTAGCAGTATATGTGAAAAGGATCTAGGGTTATTGGTGGACCACAAGCTTAAAATGAGCCAACAGTGTGATGCAGCAGCAAAAAAAGTTAATGCTATTCTAGGCTGCATCAACAGAAGTATAGTGTCCAGATCAAGGGCAGTCATTGTCAGGAGCGTCCTACATGCGAGTGGGCATCCAAGAGAGACACATGCCCGACTGGCATGTTCTCTCCCTCCTGGTCATTCTTTTGGGAGCTTCAAAAGTGTTCTCCAGCCCGAGCATCACAGCGACTGACATCTCTGAGAGGCATCAGCACACTTCAGGATTCTGCAGAGTATTGGCAGTTTGCGTGACAGACTCAGCAGCACAACATTTTGGCTAAACTACTTTATTTACATATAATACACTCGGAGCATTCTGACTCAGCTCCTTCCTCTTTCTCATCAGACAGCAAAGAGAGAAAGAGCAAAGGACAATAGTACCACATCACGGAACACAGTAATACAAACATCCTGTCTCCGTCACTTCCCACACTGTGGAATGAAAACATACACCGTCATGTGGTAGAAACAATCCCATGACTGCAAACACAGGGCAAGAATACTAACAGTCATAGTCCCACTCTAGTATGCTTTGGTCAGACCACACCTGGAATACTGTGTCCAATTCTGAGCACCACAATTTAAGAAGGATGTTGACAAGCTGGAACATGTGCAGATGATCAAGGGTCTAGAAGCCAAGCCTTATGAGGAGCCCTTGAAGGAGCTGGGTATGTAGCCTGGAAAAGAAGAGACTGAGAGGAGATATGATAGCCATCTTCAAGTATCTGAAGGGCCGTCACATAGAGGATGAAGCAAGCTTGTTTTCTCCTCTGGAGAGTAGGACTCGAACCAATGGACAGAAAAACTTTCAGACAGTAATGGCTGTTTAAGAGTGGAACAGTCTCCTTTGGGAGGTGGTGGACTCTCCTTCCTTTGAGGTTTTCAAGCAGAGGTTGGATGGCCAGCTGTCATGGATACTTTAGTTGAGATTCCTGCATCACAGGGGGTTGGACTAGATGACCCTTGGGTCCCTTCCAACTCTAAGATTCTATGTGTGGGAAGCAGGAGACATGTCTCCAGATGCAGGAAGAGACTGGTAGCTGAATAGACCTCTCCCTCTGCTGTGGAAGATTTCAATGGCAGGATAAGGCAGGGTGGATGTCCTTCTCCATTTCTGGAGGAAAGCTCAGTAAGAGAACAGGGTTACCTTGGGAAGCATCAGCAGAACTTGGACAGCAATGCATTAGAATGAGGGAATGCCAGGGATTCCTAGCAGGTGAGCTCAGGTCTTCAGGCAGAGGTGCTTCTGCGAGTGTTGAGGCTGCCAGCCCCACTGCCCTATTTGTGTCTCTCACCAGCTCCGACATCGCATTGACACCTCTGCAGGAGCGAAGAAACATCTGCTCCTTGGTGCTAAAGCAGGGAATTAATGTGCATGGTGAATAGAATTGGGCCTGGGGTCCACTCAGTAGTGGGAGAATTATCAAACCTCATTGGTGTGGGGACCTTGATTTATCTCGTCTTCATTCTGTTAAGAAAAGAAACAGCATCAAGCCATGGTTATTTTAAGCTCTGGTTGGCTCCATGTAAGCTTCTGCTTTGCTCTTTGGAAGCCAATTTGTCTGCTCCCCACGCCCCACAAGGCAATGCAAATCCTATGAGAATAAGACCTGACCCTGGGCAAGGGAGGTGGAAGAAAGCAAGGAATGTCCACATGTTACAGAAAGAATACTGGGACCTGAAGTTTGTTAAAAAGGTAAAGGTAAAGGACCCCTGACAGTTAAGTTCAGTTGCTCTATAGACTGAGGGAGCTGACGTTTGTCCGCAGACATTTTTTCCAGGTCATGTGGCCACCATGACTAAGTCACTTCTGGCAAAACCAGAGCAGCACAGAAACGCCTTTTACCTTCCCGCCAGAGCGGTACCTAATTATCTACTTGCACTTTGACGTGCTTTCGAACAGCTAGGTGGGCAGGAGCAGGGACCGAGCAACAGGAGCTCACCCTGTCACAGGGATTCGAACCACTGACCTTCCGATTGGCAAGCCCTAGGCTCAGTGGTTTAGACCACAGCACCACCCGCGTCCTGTAGTTTATTAAGGGTGCTCAAAATTATAGCTCTGTGGGGGTAAATTGCTGTTCCCAGAATTCTTTGGTGGGAGATTGCCTTAAATGTGTGGCGTGTATGTAGCCAGACAGTTTTGGCTCATTCCAAATAGTTTGCAGAGTCTGCACCTTATCTCTTGAGGAGGTGGAGCTCTCCTCGCCTCTTGTGGAGTCTCTAGCTGCCTGGTGTAATCAGATGCCTGCCTCCACAACTAGATGCGTAAACAGGAGCTGAGGCTGGGGTAGACAGTGTTAATTAGCTAAATATTTGGAGATGGGTTTATGAGGTGCCTTGGAATCTTAAAACAGCCGCTGCCAGGATTGTGATAACCGCTGGGGGACAGGCAGGACTTTCAGCTGTTTGCCTACTTCTCAGTTTTGCTAATGGCACTCAGGGATCTGGTGTTAATTAAAATTAAATAGTGTGGCTTGTACCTTTCACTGCTCAGTACTCCATCACAACATTGTTGTCACTAATGCACGGTGGGGGGGTGTGTGTGTCATTTCTTCCCAACACACATGGAGGAGTGCCAGGACATTTTCAGTGCAGGCCTGTGGCCCTCTAGGTGCCATTGGACTAGAGCTCAGCCAGGATGGCCCAATGGCCAGGCATGATGGCAGTTATAGTCCAGCCATGCCTGGAGGGCCCACCCTCTTCTAAAAAGGGACAATCAGAGACGGAGCATCTTAAAATTAAGGGCAATGAAATCTGAATTGGGTATTCATCTAAGAGACACCTGATTTCTGCTGCCCAGGCATAAAAACAATGAAATTGGTCTTACAGGATGTGATGCTGCTGGGGGTGCTTCCAAACTGGTGCTTTTAACAGCATCCACATGACATCATTGGCATCAGTATGCTACCCTGTATCCCTCCCATTTTATATAGATTTAGACTTTCTGTGAAAATCTTTCCACCTGGCCTAGGGGGCGGGGCCCAGATTTACCAAACCCTACTATGTTAAATATGTATTCTGTAGTTGACCTCCTTTGTAATGTTTTACAGTGGTACATCGGGTTACAGACGCTTCAGGTTACATACGCTTCAGCTTACAGACTCTGCTAACCCAGAAATAGTACCTCGGGTTAAGAATTTTGCTTCAGGATGAGAACAGAAATCGTGCTCCGGCGGCACGGCGGCAGCGGGAGACCCCATTAGCTAAAGCAGTGCTTCAGGTTAAGAACAGACCTCCGGAACGAATTAAGTACTTTACTTGAGGTACCACTGTATTTTGAAACCTTTAAGATAATATTTTAGTTTTCTGTTATGTTGCTTTGACTGTATACTCTATATTTGACTTTCTTCAGATTGTTTTATTTATGTTTTATTGATTTAATATGTTGTAAACCGCTATGAGACTTTTCTTTAAAATATAAAGCAGTATAGAAATTTTTTAAATAAAATAAAATAAAAACAAACAAACCTTGTTGCCAATGACCCGCAATGCCTGAAATACCCATTTGCACTATAAAGTTCCCATCTGGAAGCACACGCCAATCTCTGAAAGAAAACAAATATCAGGGAGCTCAAAATGGTGAGTGCACTCAGCGCCCAGCATATCTGGGATTTGTGGCTGGCAGAGCAAAGGGATGGAAGCTGGTTTATTGATGCATTTGAATCAGCACCTTTGTTTTTGCTAAATTAAATACTGAATAAGAAGTAGGTTCCAGATCTGGAATGGAGGGCCGTAGTCACAGTAGGTGGAGAGAGAGAGAGAGAGAGAGAGAGAGAGAGAGAGAGAGAGAGAGAGAGAGAGAGAATCAGGAGAGCCCTGAGCCCAATTAAGGGGTGAGAACAAGGGTATCCCTTCCGCTCAGGACAGGGCTATGGAGCCCCCCTCCCCACAGCTCTGGGGAAATCCCCAGATCTTGTGGGAATATTAAGGAAGGTAGGAGAGGATATATTGTTTGGATATTATCCCTCCTCACTCATGCTCATGAGTAAACAGCAGAGCACATTCCCTTTGCAACTTATTGGAAGCAAGTTGATGATTTGTTAGAATCCTGTAATTAAGTAATTCAGTCTGGCTTGTCCAGTCTGGAGTGTTCCTGGTAAGTTTCCCCTTTATTTCCCTCTTAAAATAAAGTAGAATAAAGTTTTACTCACATTCAGTTCACAGCAGTAATCTGAAGTCAGGCTTTATCTTGTGGTTACAGTGAAAAGAAGTCTGAGCTACATCTCAGGCTTCCTGCTTGTGGGCTCCATCCTCTGTGAAGGTTGAGCCATGCACTGGCTAAGAGCCAGGAGAGCAAGACGCCAAAAGTCCAAGAGAGAGATGGTTGTGTGGCCAACCCTTTTATCTGGTCAGCCAGGGTCACGCCCATCTACTTGGTCACACACAGGGGGAGGAAGCTCCAGAGCAGGTATGGCAGGAAGTGTCTGGAGCCACATTCCCCTGTGTCTCCATTCTAGGCAACAGGAAAATGTTGTACTTGACTGCTCTAGTAATGATACATCCCACAGATCTGAATCAAAACGTTGGAGGTGAGTAGTGAGGGGCAGAAGATGATGCTTTTGCCTCCTGCTTGCTACTTCCCTGGGACCTTGCAGCAACAAATGCCAGTTCCACACGCAGCCAGTTCCATGTGCCAGGAGCCTGGGCTGTGGGATCCTTGGCTCACACAAAATCATTATCTCATGATTTAAAAAAATGAAAGGTTGATAGACAGAGCTCACCTCCTCTGCTTCCATCATCTCAGCCCATGCTGTGTGAACTAAATCCATCCTAATTATGGCTGATTTGCATGGGGAGTTGAAAATTAATCTCTCCTAAGTTCTGGGCGTTTAGTGATTCTGCTTGGGCTTATTAGAAGCACAATGCTATTTCCCAAGAAGGCATGTGTGCTTGCGGGGGGAAGAGTGTTCTTCAATGTACAGCAGGTGTGCTGGGTACCCTTTTTGCAGGGTGTACACCAGTTTCCATCAGAGATCAATCCCTGTTAATTTCCCTAGTGGGCAGTTCTTCAGAGAGTTGCTGAGACAGTTAATGCACAGATGTGGAGGAGCAAACATACCTGCCTGATAGAGAAGGATGTGGCTCTTTCACGGGTGGGGAATTGAGACAAGCAGCAATTCCATAACTGAAAAAAGCATGCATGGCCCAGCCCACTCAAGGAAGCTGTGTGCTTGTTATGTTAAGTGCTTCCTGTGACATTCATTCTATCCTGGCAACAGAACTTAAGCATCAACTTCCTGGTTTGGGGACCTAGCACTATATCACTCTCTGATGAATGGCTATCATGCAGGGTTGTTAAGTTCAGGATTTAAGTCTGCCATACTATATGGGATGAGGAATTTTAGGCAGCGGGGTGGGGGAATTCACCCCCCAGGACTCTCTACATGAAGCCGCTGGGAGAGATCATCGGGGGGGTTGGGCTGGGTGTCCATCAATATGCGGATGATACCCAGCTCTACCTCTCTTTTAAATCAGAACCAGTGAAGGCAGTGAAGGTCCTGTGTGAGTGCCTGGAGGCGGTTGGAGGATGGATGGCAGCTAATGGACTGAGGTTGAATCTTGACAAGGGAGAAGTATTGTTCTTGGGGGACAGGGGGTGGGCTGATGTAGGGGACTCCCTGGTCCTGAATGGGGTAACTGTGCCCCTGAAGGACCAGGTGCGCAGCCTGGGAGTCATTTTGGACTCACAGGTGTCCACGGAGGCGCAGGTCAATTCTGTATCCAGGGCAGCTGTCTACCAGCTCCATCTGGTATGCAGGCTGAGACCCTACCTGCCTGCGGACTACCTCGCCAGAGTGGTGCATGCTCTAGTTATCTCCCGCTTGGACTACTGCAATGCACTCTATGTGGGACTACCTTTGAAGGTGACTCGGAAACTACAACTAATCCAGAATGCAGCAGCTAGACTGGTGACTGGGGGCGGCTGCCGAGACCATATAACACCGGTCCTGAAAGACCTACATTGGCTCCCAGTACGTTTCTGAGCACAATTCAAAGTGTTGGTGCTGACCTTTAAAGCCCTAAATGGCCTCGGCCCAGTATACCGGAAGGAGTGTCTGCACCCCCATCGTTCAGCCCAGACACTGAGGTCCAGCGCCGAGGGCCTTCTGGCGGTTCCCTCCCTGTGAGAAGTCAAGTTACAGGAAACCCGGCAGAGGGCCTTCTCGATAGTGGCACCCGCTCTGTGGAATGCCCTCCCAAAGAGATAAACAACTATCAGACTTTTAGAAGACATATAAAGGCAGCCCTTTTTAGGGAAGTTTTTAATGTGTGACATTTTAATGTATTTTTAATCTTTATGGGAAGCAGCCCAGAGTGGTTGGGGAAACCCAGCCAGATGGGTGGGGTACAAATAAATAAATAAATAAATAAATAAATAAATAATCTCTGTCTGGCCCTCGGGACTCTCCTCCTTCACCATTCACATCTCTCGCCTGTCCTACATTGCAGCCTCTTTGAGTATTTCTGCCTGACCAGAATGCATCCTTGAATAATCCTTTTGCTTCCTGAATGGAGGGTGTATGTGTGTGTAGAAACTAGCCTACTGTATGAAGGTAAAATTCACCTTTGTTCTTCTGCCCTCTTTTGCTCCTGGCTCCAGTCGCAACCAGAAGGAAATGTGGCCCTCAGGCTGGAAGAGGCTCCCCACACCTCCTCTATGCACATCTGTGGTGTCTGCAGCGTTGAACATGGAGTTTGAACAAGCGTGCACAGCCTGCACATCTCTTTACAATTTGAGGGCAGACAAACTAATATTTATTTAGCATTGCCTGCAAGGACAACATGTGTGTTTATGGTTTATATACACCATCTGATTATTAGAACAGCACTGTGAGCATCTGCGGTTTCTTAGAGGGGGAGCTAATGGAAAACATTCACTAAGGGCCTGCCTATCTGGATGTATCCATTAGGCAATATTGGGTACCAAACTAACTCTGCTTTTTAAACACAACCATTAAAAAACCCTCTCCTGCCTGGGGAGGACTTGGAAGGGGCTGGCCATGATCAGACTGGCTGGCAGCTGACCTGATCTACGTTTCACCTTTGAAGGCACAGATCAGGCTGGCTAGCAAACAGGTCTGTTCCATGCTTTCAAAAGCATTCCTCCTTGAAGTTGTGGATCAGGTGATGGGTGACTGACCCAATCTTCTCCTTTGAAAGTCAAGGCAGATCCAGTTGGCTGTTAGTCAGCCTGGTCCCTGCCATCAGAGTTGGATGGAGTGGGGAGATGCAATTCCGCAAGGGATATGTTTCCACCCCTGGTCAAGAGGAAGACAAACCTGGTCATCCTGGAAAAGAGAGTGTCCCAAGTGCAAACCAGTGACAGTCTTTGAGGGGTGATACAAGCTCATGATCCAGCAATCAGGAGGAGGAGGAGAATGGCATCATTTGCTCCAGTCCAGAAGAGAGATCTCCATGTCTGCAAACATGCAAATCCAGGTTCTATCAAAAGTGGTGCAATGTGAACTGGACCACACACACCCCCTCAGTGTGGGCTAGCAATTGTAATATGTGACTAGAACTCAGTTGAGGCAGCTGCTTATATATATATATATGTTGTTTAAGGGACGTGGGTGGCACTGTGGTCTAAACCACAGCGCCTAGGGCTTGCTGATCAGAAGGTCGGTGGTTCGAATCCCCGCAACGCAGTGAGCTCCCATTGCTCAGTCCCAGCTCCTGCCAACCTAGCAGTTTGAAAGCACATCAAAGTGCAAGTAATAATAATAACAATAATAATTTTTTATTTATACCCCGCCCTCCCCAGCCAAGGCCGGGCTCAGAGCGGCTTACAAGCAATAATAAAAACAAGAAGAATGATTACAACTTAAAAACAAAAATAAAATACAACATTAAAATAATGGAACATTAAAATATTAAAATGTAGCCTCATTGCAGGAGGAGAAGGAAAAGAAAAAAGAAAGAGAGGGAGGGAGGGAATCAAATTGGCTCTAAGCCAAAGGCCAGGCGGAACAACTCTGTCTTACAGGCCCTGCGAAAAGAAATCAGATCCCACAGGGCCCTGGTCTCATGAGGCAGAGCGTTCCACCAGACCGGAGCCAGAGTTGTAAAGGCCCTGGCTCTGGTTGAAGCCAATCTAATTTCCTTAGGGCCCGGGACCTCTAGGGTGTTGCTATTTATGGACCTTGAGGCTCTCTGTGGGGCATACCAGGAGAGGCGGTCCCGTAGGTACGAGGGTCCTAGGCCGTGAAGGGCTTTAAAGGTCAAAAGCAGCACCTTAAATCTGACCCTGTACTCCACCGGGAGCCAGTGCAGCTTGAAAAGCACTGGGTGAATATGCTCCCATGGCAAAGACCCCGTGAGGAGCCTCGCTGCAGCATTCTGTACCCGCTGGAGTTTCTGGGACAGCTTCAAGCGCAGCCCCGCATAGAGCGAATTACAGTAGTCAAGCCTGGAGATGACCGTAGATAAATAGGTACCACTCCAGTGGGAAGGTAAACAGCGTTTCGTGTGCCGCTCTGCTCCAGAAGTGGCTTAGTCATGCTGGCCACATGACCATTGTCTGCGGACAAATGCCGTCTCCCTCGTCCTATAGAGCGAGATGAGCGCACAACCCCAGAGTCGTTCGCGACTGGACAACGGTTAGGGGTCCCTTTAGCTTTACCTTTACAAGTTGTTTTGACATAGCAAGGCCATCAAGGTGGTTCATGGTTAAAATCCTAACTTTATAAACCCCAAACCATCACAAAACAGCTGGAAATAATTACCAATTAAACAAAAGCAGAAAGAAAAACCAACAAAATAGATTAAAATACAGTAAGGCCGAATGAATACAACATAACAGCAGCAAGAAGAAGAAGAAAGGGAATGGTTCAATTAACCATCTCTTAAAACCCTGCAGACCCAAATGGATCTTAATCACATTTTTCTAAGGGTGAAGCATATTGATTTTAATTCTGCGTGAACGTCACAGATTCTGTGGAAAGTATTCTCTAAGCATTGTCAATGATTTTATTTTATTTATGGGGTTTGAGAATCATAATGAAATGATCTATAATGAAATCAAAAAGGTACTCAAATGTACCTTCTCGAAAAAACCAGAGGCCTTTCTCTTGGGCATTGTCGGCCAATTGGTGACAAAGAGGGATAGAACTTTCTTTATGTATGCTACAACAGCAGCAAGAATACTCATCGCAAAGTATTGGAAGACCCAAGATCTACCCACTTTGGA